ACACACACACACACACCAGGAGATACACACACACACACACACACACACACACACACACACACACACACACACACACACACACACACACAGACACACACACAGACAGACAGACACACACACAGACAGACAGACAGACAGACAGACAGACAGACAGACAGACAGACAGACAGACAGACACACAGACAGACAGACAGACAGACAGATAGATAGACAGACAGACAGACAGACAGACAGACAGACAGACAGATAGACGGACACACAGACAGACAGACGGATGGATGGATGGATCTAATGATCATTACACACAGAGTTCTAATTAAAATAAATTCTATATTAATTTTAGTAATTTAATTGAATAATATGCAAATGAGTGTCTGATTTCTGTTATTCAGCGGATTTATTATATAAGAGACTTGCTCTTATAGAGGCAGCCCTGTAATAGTTTTAAATATTCTGTTCTATTTAATGTTTAAGTTTTTTTTACGTATAAATGTGCGCAGATCTCTTCCAGGATATTTGATGAAAAACAAGACAAGGACACACATCATCTAATGCATTCATTTATAGTTCTAGCGAGATTCTTTCTACTCGAATGTACATTTAATGACGCTCACCACTATCATAAATATCCCCAATACTGAATAATCCCTATACTGTGATGATAACCCCTGCATTCCCGCTGTATTCCCTCATATTCCCTGTTTTCTGCACCTTCCGTCAAAACATCTTTAAGGTGTCTTTAAAGCATCCCTGGCGCATGCTCCCCTCCCACCCAATCAGCGCCGCCTCCAGCCTGTCAGTTAGAAGCAGCGACCAATCGGAGCGCAGCGTGACGTTAGAGCTGCAGTGAGCGAGTTGATAGGCGGCTGTCTCCGATCATCTCTCTCATCTTCTGATCATCGATCTCCACACGCGCTGATTGATTGATTATTGATTGATTGGTCGGTGATGTCGGTGCTGGAGGAGTACGAGCGGGCGCCCAAGCGGCTGAAGGTGTGCTCTGAGGAGCTGGAGGACGGAGAGGAGTCCGACTCAGCATCCGCCGAGGAGGAGCAGCGCTGGAGCTCCGCAGCCGAGAGGAAGGTCAGTCCGGCGGGCAGCCTGCGCACACAGCCCCGCGCCACACTCTCTGGAGGAAACATGACGCTCTTATTGACACGTTTAGAGTCCAAATATATGAACATTCCTCAATCATCAAGCATTTTATAGACTAGAGGGAAATATTGTGTTGTTTTCAGAAATAATAATTACATTTAATAGTCAAAATTAAGTGTTTTTCCTTTAAAATGAGTTCAGTAATCTGCCAGTGGGGTGAGAGACCTAATGTTGTTTTCGTTTTGATGTCACATTATTCTGCACACCTCACTGGCTGATTATTTAGCTTGTTTTAATTAAAACTCACATATTTTTGACTCATTATTTGTGAAAACAGCACATTATTGGTCCACAGCATCACTCCACACTCAAATATACAAACACTCCTAAATCAAAACACAAATATTTAGACAAATTAAAGTGTTGTGTTTTCCAGAAACAGTGAGTCAACATTTATGTGTTATTTTCTGAAAGACGAGTTGAATAATAACCCTAACTCAATTGTGTAAGTGGCTATATTGGTTTCATTTTGAAGTCTGCTCACCTCGTTAGCTGATTATTTTGCTCATTTTAAAGAAAAACTCACTAAATTTTGACTCGTTATTTCTGAAAACAACACAATATTTTATGTTTGCCTTTAAAATGTTTCTCGATTTAGGAGTTTTCAGATATTTGGAGCAGAAACGAGACAGAAACTCTTCTGCCGTGGAGGAAAGCTGTTGATCTGTGTGTTCTGCCTCGTCTGAAGTCTTCTTGGCTTTCTTCATTTATTTTTGCATTATTGAGCAGATTGTGAGTTAGCTGTTCGTTCATGACACATGTGGAGAATAGCACAGGCTGCTGCTTTTAAACATCTATAATTGAATATAATTATGTTGAGGGTGTAGATTTGCTCTTGACATCGGTGGGGACATACATCCCTATGCAGAGCGCAATATTTTGTGCCGTTAAAAACATAATAAAGTACTTAATAATATGAAATAAACCCTTAATAATACAAATGTGTGGAGCAATTTAAGTTTTATTTTGATTATTGTTTTTATAATGATGGAGGCCCAATCGAAACTGAATATCCATTAACTGCACAGCCTTGGTTAATAGTATTATAGTGAACTCAGCAAACTGGACTTGAAGCCTTTGTGCACACAGAGGTCACTAAGGGTTGCCGGAGCATTGTTTTACTTTGAAGTCGATTCAATTATTGGTCGGGACATTTCATTAATTGGTGGGGAAACGTCGGATATTGATAACATATATTAAATTACAGATATTTCCTTCAATTTAAATTTCTGGATAATGTCTGTAATATTGGTTATTTTACTGTAAATTTCTGTATTTTAACAGCTGTTATTTTACGTTTTTTTGGCACCCCAGCTGCCGGAAATACACCGTTATGTACAATAGTGCACTGTTGAAGGCCCTGCAGGATTCAGCTGGACGTTACATATTAATTGAAGGCTCTATTTTAGGCAGTGTTTTGGCTACTGTGTATGAAGACTGAAGTTACTTTAAACTTCTCTAGCTGGAAAATGATTAATCGCTGGATTATCAGGCTCAACAGGTTTAGATACAACACACATACAGTATAGATCAGGGGTCACTATCCCAGTCCTGGAGGGCCGGTGTCCTGCAGGGTTTAGCTCCTGCTTGCCTCAACACACCTGTCTGGGTGCTTCAACTATACCTAAGGGCTTGATCAGCTGTTTGAAGATTTGAGCATAATTATGCTGCGTGATGAAGGCTCACTCTCCTGCTGATGATTATTATTTTAATTAAAAAGAGTCAGATCATGTCAGTATGATCCTGTCGTCATTTCAGATCACGGCCCGGTGTCTGTAGTTTATAATTCAATAATCATTTGGAAGAAACTGACCATTCGCGCCTACAGACATCAGAAACTGCTGAAACTCTGGCTCAATAACACAATAAAGGAGAAAACGGCTTCATAAGACTGAAACAACACGGAGAAAAGGCCGGGAAATTATTAGCGAAGCAAATAAGCGAGCTGCACTTCTGACTCATTATTTCTGGAAAGAACACAATATTTACTTCTTGCTTCTTGATTTGAGAGTTTTTAGATATTTGGATGAGGAACGAGACAGAAACTCAGTGTGTGCAGTGTGCAGGAGAGTCCTCCAGTCTTCCTCATCTGAAGTGTGTCATCTCAGTTTTATTATGCAGTTAGCCGTGGGTTCATGACGCGTGGCAAATGACACAATCTGCTACTTTTAAACATCTGTAATTCAAGATAATTATGTAGACAATAATGACAGAAGTGTGTCATCTTCACCAGCTCTCAGTCATGAGCAGGGACAAAACTTTGAGCAAAAAACAAATATCCACAGCTCAGCATGCATGAGCTCATCCATAATGAAAAGCAATATGTTCCATTTCTCAGTCAATATACACAACATATTTTGGTGCATACAGGCACGTTAATATATATATATATATATATATATATATATATATATATATATATATATATATATGTATATATATATATGTATGTATATATGTATATATTTTTTTATTAAAATATTAATTAAAATAAAATACTATTTTAGTCAACAAAGATTTATAAAGATAATACATTTAAATTCATGCTAAATATGGCAAAAAAGATGACTAAAAATATGACTTCAGTTAAATTTTATATGTTTTCGCTTGATTTCTTTCCTCTCTTAAAGTTTTTGCATCTAATATTTACATTATTAACATATAAATTTGGTCTACAAATTATTGGACCGTTATCGTAATTCATTTAGTTACAGTAGATCAGCTCCTGGTTTGTCTTCAGTACTGACTAATCTAATGTGTCTGAACACATATATTATTATTGTAGAGCATCCTGGAGAAAATACTACTCTAAAAGAGAGATCTGTGATTCTTATAATAAATACTGTATATATATACACACACACACACATGAATTATGCACAGTATATGGTTTCAGCATTGATATTGCAGTGTGTGCATCAGAGGATCTGCCGTGTTGATTCTGGATCATGGTTGATCAGGAGCCACAGCACACATGAGACATGACGAGTCACTGCGGAGTTAACCAGAACAGACTGAAGCTTTATCATCTGCGTGTGTTTTAATGAATTTTCAAGAGAGTTTAAAACATTTGTGCAAAAAACAATCACCATGTTTGGAGGTGAACGAAGATTAATTTTATTGAATTATTTATACACAATTTATACAATTTACATAAAAGATGATTTTTTTTACTAAAATTGTCTTGTTTTTAAAGCAAATATCCACATTTTAAAGCACAAACAAGATTATTTTATTAATGCCATTGACCCAATTTTGCTTGTTTCAAGGAAAAACTTTTTGATTTTATTTTGATTTATTTCTTCTGAAAGTAAAACCATATTTCTGCTTGATCTTAGAATCTTTCGATATTTGGACTTGAGACTAAGCAAAGGAAGAAAAACATATTTTGCATTGTGATTTTTCAGTTTCTGCACCTGAATACTGTTAGACTTTAGAAATAGAGCTGTTCAGACTAATCCTGTAGAACTGTAGTAAAATCACAATAATTATTGCAGGAAATTAAAATATTGCATTATCAGGTTTCATGCAGCCCTAATATAATTATATATATACATATGCATGGTATAAATGATGCATATTTTTGCAGAATGATTTTGAGAGCGCACAAATAAAGAAAAAGAAATAACTATGATGATTTATTAATTTATTATCTTGATGATTTAGTCATTTATTAGTGACATTTTATTTTACTTTTTTATTTTGTGTATTTCAGCAAGAAATATCTGTTAATGAACAGTTTCGTCCCATATTCAGTGATTCAGAAGTGTTTTGTGTTCATTTAAGGTGGTGAATTGCATTATGGGATGTTCTAAAACTAAAGAACTAAAGAAAAGTCTTGGTCCTTATTTATTAGGATTAAGGATTTTGTTTGGAAAGGAAAGCTAAATCGCTTAGCTGAAGACCGCTCAATTATTCACAGTTTTGGGAGATTTTTATTTTTCCTAAGATTTAATTTAATGAATTCTTAAAATTTTAAGTAAAAATGTTATTTAGTTTCTCATGCATTTTGAATGAATGTTTATGTATTATAGTAATACTCTGGTAGTATTTCTCATGTATTCTGGCTCTCTTTTATTTTATTTATGTAAAAAACCGAACACACTGTACAGATCAATAATAGATGGAATAAAAACTCACAAATGTAAAGTTTACTCATATGTGTGACCCTGGTCTAATGTCGCTTGGGTATATTGTCAAAAATATACAGTATGTAGTCAAAATTACAGTTTTTTTGTTCTCCTATGCCATAAATATACTATAATATAATATAATATAATATAATATAATATAATATAATATAATATAATATAATATAATATAATATAATATAATATAATATAATATAATTTAATATAGTTTAATATAATATAGTTTAATATAATATAGTTTAATATAATATAATATAATATAATATAATCCCCTATAGTTGTGTTCCAGGTTCTCATATATGCTTTAAAAAAATCTTTTTTTTCCTGCTGTTTGTTTAAATAATCCTAATTTTTATTTTATGTTTATTTCAACACAATCTCACGGCAATTTGTAACTTTTTTATTAAGTGGCTAATTCGTATGAATTCGTACGATCTAATTCGTATAATTTAGTACGATTTGCTTATCCCCCAATGACGGTTGGGGTTAGGGGTGGGGTTAGGTGCCACGCCTCCTTTTTAAAATAGTATCATTTCGTACGACTGAAATCGTACGAATTCGTACGAATCAGCCACTAAACTGGCAAAACGTAAAATACTTAAGTTTTCTCGTGAGATCAGGCTGCTTTATTTGCACTCTGCCTCTCTCGGGTTTTCTGCATGTGCACTATAGTCACACACACACGCACACACGCACACACACACACACACACACACACACACACACACACACACACACACACACACAGACACACACACACACACACACACACACACACACACGCACACACACACACACACACACACACACTCACACACACACACACACACACACACTCACACTACCTGCTGTAGTAACACTACAGTCTATGGCTGCATGGTATTGGGAAAAGCCCGGCATTGCAGTATTGATGTTTCTGCAATATACATTGTGACAGGATTATCATTTCACAAGTTGACTTAAGTAAGTAACTCTGTTTAGAGGAATCTAAAATCTGACATGGATTGTGATGGAGCTGTAGGAGAGTGAATCTGCAGCAAATAAACTACATCATCTGACGAGCAGCAAATAATCAAACAGCAGAAAGAAAGAAATGAAGTAATCAGTGTCTTCCGGAGAGTCAGAGATTCATCAATCATATATTAAATAATGCTGTAGTCAAGATCTGAAGCAGATCAAAACCTGTCATCAGATCAGTCCTACATCACTGAGCTTCATGCACTCTCATCTCAGGACAGATTTGCCTTTTCTCTTCTGGATCTTCTTTAAATGTT